AGTTGGAACAGGTTGTTTGCAGTATGTCTGTGAAGGTTCTCAGGTTGTGATAGGTCTGCAGTAATTTCACCTGCTTGTTTCCTGACTCTGGATTTGTACGAATCCTGCATGGAGGATGGGTCGGCACCAACGTTTGTTTGTTTTACCTGCAGACCCCAGTGTCTGTTATAGTCTGGTCTCGTCCTGTTAAATCCAAACCATACAGTAATGTTTTTCAGAGTGCAGAGAATGAACTTCTTGCAAAAGCTCAGGCTGTTCATCCTCTGCTGTGTCTTCTTGATGATTTTGTCTGTGTTGGATCCTGGGAGGTTCTGGATCCCAGAAACCTGAAGGTTTCCACAGCACACACAATGATGCTGAGTAAGTAATTCCTGCCCCTGTGGCAAACATTGCGTCTTTAACACTGGGACGCGTCGTGTCACTTGAACCAGACATGCACCTCTAGATTTTTGTAACCTGAAACATTGTGCAGATGGCTTGAAGACATGAGTGTAAGATCATTTAAGTTTTTAACGCCATTTTAATGATGTTCCATTGCAGATGCTCAGAGATTCAGTTACCTAGAGGAATATGTTTCAACAGTTTGAAAATATGAGACTTTATGGAAACCCCCCCAGAAAAGTTCAGCAATGTCTTTGCATCTAGTTTTGACTTCTCCTCTGATATCAGCTCTGTAATTGGCAGTATTTTCTGAGTGGCGACTCCTACTGTTGAGGAGACTGCAGTGCCTCAACAGTGAGTATAAATGGAATTGTCTGTAACCGTTGCGGAGGGTGTACCGGCACCTTGAGGCGAGGGGGAGGGGTGGGGGTGGTGCTGAACAGCTCCAACTGAAGTCTCCACATTTCTGAGCATATTCAGCTCAAGATTGTTCTGATTACACCACAGGGACAGCTGTTCAACCCCACATCTGTATGGAGAGTCATCAGTCATGTCATCTGCACATTTCATGATTTTGACCTACAGGTCTTTAGTGATGCGGTTGTTTGTGTAGAGGGAGAGGACACAACTCTTGAGGCCACCACAGCTGATTTTTCCAGGTGCTGGATGTGGTTCTCCTCAGCGTCATCTACAGCTTTTGCTGTCTGTGTCTCAGGGTCCAAAACTGGGCTATGAGGACCATGACTTCTGACTGCTGCAGTTCTAAACTGGTCCTGGCTCCCTGTGTTAGCTCTGCAACGCCGCCAGCTGTCATGGAGAAATCTGAAAATGTACTGAAAATCTATTTTCATGATTTGAAACCCTTAAAAAGCACAAGCACACTCTTTTCTCTTTCCACAGAAGGTGACTCCAGATGGGGAGCCCACCAGCTCGGCCCACCCGGCTCGATTCTCCCCAGATGACAAGTTTTCCCGGCACCGGGTGATATTGAAGAAACGCTTCAACATACTGCTGACCCAGCAGCCCAAGCCTGTCATGTGAGGAGGAGGAGAAAGACATATCAGGATGGAGCTACAAGGAGAAGAGCGAGAAAACACCTGAGCCGGATTTAAAGGACTGCTCGTACCCTCTATTGATGCGATGATGGAATTTGTTCATTTTTTTTTTTTTAAGGGTGGCGGTTTTTAATTTGTTCATGCTAAATAAATCTTTGTGTCATAGCTCCTCACGTGTTGCCTGTGTGTGTCTAAAATCCAGACTGGCTGACAGCTTGTTGGACAAATGAAGCATTTAAATGCAGATAGTCTTTAATGTGCCACCAATCTACCAGCCAGGGGGCGCTGTAGTATGAAGGTTGTCCTACAGGATTTCCCTATATCCAAAATAACACGATCACGTAATTTGTGGCATTATGAAAACACACAGCTGATGATAGATTTGAGGAAGCACTTTAGCTGAGCCTGCAGATTTTCTCCATTTGTTTCCCAAGACAGCCATAACTTCCTCTCAAAGCTTTCTTTTTTTTAAAATCATTCTTTTACTTTTGCAGCCAAACACTGGATCGATTTGTAGATATACGACAGCCAGGTGACTCTTTGTGTGTGACTGCACAGGGTTTTTTTTGTTGTTTGTTTTGTGTTGTTTTTTTTAATATATCTTTTGTCCACCTGTCCCACATTCTGATTTGCTCCATTTTGAAATTCAGTGCTGTTAGAGAAGACACTTTAAGTCCTGACTGGTACTGAGTGGCTGTGATCAGAGGTCTCCAGCAGGTTAACACTTCACTTCTGTTTTGCTGCTGACAACATGTTAAAGGTGGAACTGCAAGTGACTCCAACATCACAAGATGTGTGCACAACATGATGCAAACTAATAGAAAGGAAATGTAGATGTCATGGTGTTGTACCTTGGAGTAAACAAGAGGATATTATTAAAAAAAACAAACTTAAACCGTATTTATGCTAAATGTTGATTACTGCTTATTTAAAAGAAGCCAATACAAAGAACTGGTACAAAGCTGACCTCCAATTGTTAAATAATGGATGGACATTGTGAGGGAAGTCACCTTTATGTCAGCTGAATAATGTGCTACCTTTTTCTAACTTAGATGGATTAGAGAACTATAACTTGGTGAATATAGTTTTTTTTTTTTTTTAAGAATTTGTCTGCTTTCTTAAAATGTGACAAAGTTTAGAAAGGAAAAAAGTTGGAATTCAAAAAAAAGTGCATTTGGACTGACACCCATATTTTTGTGGGAAACAAACGGCAGTTATTCAGACCAAAAGGAGAAAAGTACTAAAATTCACCTCCTTATGCTCATTGAATACTGCTAAAAAAAATCTAATTTAAATTAAGGGACCACTCAGTCATCACAAATTAACCCAAAGTCAGTTAAACTTCAGGGAGATCAGAGTGTACGGTTTGGAAACACAAATCATTTGTAGAAAGCCATTAAGAGGAATGGTTTCTCAGACTATTGCTCTTTCCTTATCCCTCCTCACTGCCGTTGTCACTCCTGTTAGCCTGAGGGATCACCTTGCATGATGAGATGATGAATGGTGTCCTGCTGGATCTTCTCCCAGTCCTAGATCAAGATATCTGTGGGCTCCTGCACAGCATTTCTGACATGATAAAAGGTCTGGGCTCCGGTCTGGGGTGTGTGAGGGACAGTCACGTCCAGAATCTGCCTGCACACTCTGATCACAAGAGGCCTGATATTTTCCCACATGAGATGAACCCTGGGTTTACTACATCAGCATAAGGTCTGAGGATTTAACCCCAGCACATTTTTGACCTATTTTCAGGCTGACTCTTATAAAGACAGATTAACGTGCCTGAAGTTGAACCGTTTTACACTGAAATGATCAAGCTTTCCCTTCATTTTCTTGAGCCATATATTTACTTATATTTACTTAGATTAAAATCAAATTACCCGTAAAAAGTACTTAAAGCTTTCCCAGCAGAAAATACAGTGAAACAATGGAAAGAATTGATTACTGAAGTATTTTTAGAAGAACATACAATTTAATTCAGAAAATAGCAAAGGGCATAGTATTTCAGATATTTAATTTTACATTCTTGAATTGTTAATGCACCGATAATTTATGTAAGTTACATATTTTAGAGCCAGGTACTGGTTCCCAATATGTGGATTTGGGCCTAGTCCAAAGGGTCAGACTATAAGTGTGAGGAAAGAAGCAAAACTAATGTTAGCTGACAGAAGTACTTAAAACGTATTTTTAATATGGCAAAGTAACTAGTAGCTACAGCTTGCAGATAAATATAAATAAAAGTACCAGAAATGTATTACAAATAGCAAAAGAGTGTGTAAAAAGTAAATCTGTATTAAATCTGGTATTGATCAAAAATATATTTAAAGAAATAAGTGATGCATTTCATATTTTTAGCAGCACTGTTCGTGTTCACTGTTCGATAGCTAGCCGCTGTCTACTCGAACTACATTTCCCAAGTAGCTTTTACCCCGTGTCTGTCACTAAGCATGCGCAAGACGTTGGAGCGACGGCGAGGAATAGAGGACCCCCCAGGCGCTCGCGCGTGTGTATGGTTGAGTCGATTGAACAACCCCCCCCAAAAAAAAAAAGTCCCGAGAAAACCTGGGAGACACTCCCAAATTTTTAGTGATTTAAAACAGCCATATGTGCATAGGGCCACATGGAAGCCAGAGCCAGGTATGTGTTTCATGTGATAACTGTCTGAACTCCGGGCTTTTTCTCTATCGGTGTCGGTGAGGCAGCCGGGGCTCCGCGGAGTTGACAGTTTATGGCACGGCTAGCTGCTGAGCTAGCTTCGGTTAGCCGCGCCGACTGTAGACGAGCGGCTTCACCCGATACGACCTCCACGTATGAGTGTGTGTGTTTGTTACCACCGATGGATATCTGGTTGATGGGTCGGCGCTGGGCGTGATGCTCTTCGACACAAGACGCTTGGTTGAAAGGAAAATCACAACTTTGTGAGTAACGAGCTAATTACCCGGCCGGTTTATCCCGGAATAACCACGCGTTTTTGGACGTTTTTTTACGCCTTTATTTTCAAGCCGCTCTTAAACATATCCCCCACGTCGTAAAATCGCTCTTCACGAGGTTTGAGTTAATGTCTGCTTGGCATTTTATCCTAACGCTGGCTCTGGCCATATCGTGTCGTCTGCAGGTGTTCAGTGACCGGTTCGAGCCAGAATTATTATGGCCAGCTTAATTGGCTTACAATGGGCGGTGGTTAGAGAGGCGAGCATCCCAGCCAGCTTTGATTTCCCTAAACTGGTTAATTAAAGACTTTTCTTAATTGGTAAAGGTGTGTTTGGCCATGTCCTCGTCTCTGGATCATATTTGCTTACAGCCGCATTACCCTCGTGATGGAGGCTGCCTGCCAAAAGCGCAAGAGGACCAAATCTCCCTAATTTGACTATAAAGTTCCTTAACGATAGTAAAATTAAGGCAGTATTTTCACTTAATTGATCTCAGACCTGGGAAAATCTTGAACTAGGTGAGGTTAAAGCTAGTTACTGCTAATTTAGCTAAAAGAATAATCTTTAGTCATGGCGGTTAGATATGTTTAGGAGGTCAGGTAGCCTCACATATATTGATCTGGGAGCTTGGCAAACTAATCCATGATCATTAATACTGGCCCACATTGGTAGCAAGGCATTATGACTGTCTCCTGATGCAAAGGTAACAGCTTAAAATACAAAAATAGGCCCCGAGTTAGCAGGAAAAAGGAACAAAATGTGCTCAATCCTTATGCTTGGACAAAAAAGGTGGCTGAATATGCTGTAATGTTATCTAAGTGACACACATAAGAGTAATTGTGTGTGTTTAACATATTCTTTAAAGGAAACCAGAGCCAGGCATTCGTTTCAAATGACTAATGTTTGAGCTCTGAGGGTTTGTCTTGGGCATTTGTAAGTGTTGATAAGGCAGCATTAATAAAAAATGACCAACAAAGAGGCACCAAAATTTTACTGGCACTGCTTGGGTAAAGGGTCACTGTAAAGAAATCACTGCTCAGTGAAAATATTGTAAACTGTATGCAGTAAAACAAGTGAAAATCAGTCAAACTAATGTACCCAAAAGTGCAGTGTTAAATATTCCAAGGTTAAAGCAATGCTATGTGTATTATAGATAAAATATTATAAGTAAATCCAGGTGTAATGGGAAGTTTGATGGCCACAGGTTGGAATGATTTTAGGTTTTCAGGTTTATTTATAAATGTTCTAGAGCCAAAACACAAGAATTCACCTCTAAGTGCTTTATATTGTGAGATAACTAGGGCTGCACGATTTTGCATAAAATGAGAATCACGATTTATTTGCTTAGAATTGAGATCACGATTCTCTCACGATTTTCTTTTCCAGTATAAATATTTATTGCACTTATTAACTGCACATCAACTTCGTAACAGTTGAGACTGAACATAAAAACAATAAATAAACATAAAAACAACAAATGTCTCACGTTTTGTTGTTGCCGCAAAATGTTGTACTGCTTGAAATTCCGTCTCCACCGTTGCTCGACGCTGCGTGTATAGAGCAGGTAGCGCAACAATAGAAAAATAGTTGCGGGACGGCACTGTGTAGCGTTTGTCTAGGGTGTTGATCATTTTCCTAAATCCCTCGTTTTGCACAGTGTTGATGGGAGCCATATCTTTGGTCAGGTGATAAGTGATAGCCTCCGTAATTTCTTTGTGCCTGCGGGAGGTCGATGGGTATGGGGAAGCGCTGTATAAGGTTCCTGTTATTGAAGTTTGGGTGGTTGACCGGGACGGATTTTCTCCTGTCACTTTCTCGTCATCCCTGACGTGCTCTCCGTTGTTTTTTCCCTGCTAATTTTAGCAGCCAGCTTCTGTATCACGTGGTATAAGGCTCCGCCCTTGTCATTTGTTGAGCAGGAAGAGTGAGCGCTTGTATTCATGCAGATTACGTCCCGGATCAAAATGCGGTACAATCGTCGTCTTTTTTTTTTTTTAAATCGTTGTCATTTGGAATCGCACATAAGTATGAATTGAGATCGCGATTTTCTAACGATTAATCGTGCAGCCCTAGAGATAACCCTACAATAATACAGAGAAAAGTCTTAAACTAGATGACTCTGTATGAACAAGTACTTAGTGATAGTGGGGAGGAAAGACTCTTGGGATGAAGACGGACCAAAAGAGACACATGATTAGTACCTTCCAACTAGTGGATGACCTGCTCTTTCTCCTTCCTCGTCCTCTTCACATTGCTGGGGTTTTTGTTTTGTTTTGTTTTGTTTTGTTTCTTTGTTTTTTAAACCAAGCTGTTGTCGGTGAAAACATCAATCTGGAGGTTTCAGAACAAGATTTCAGAAACAAGCTCATGACATCATGATCACTACGTCATTCTTTTCTACTGTCTATGAAGCCAACATTGGCAGTCACATAAAGGTGGTCATCAACTGGATAGGTCAGCCCAGGGCTTCCCAGTCTAGCTACTTTGGACACTCGTACTGTCTGCGCCCTGAGGTTCAAGTGTTCTTCTGGGAATAGTGATGCTATTTCCCAGGGATTCCATGGTGGTGGTCAGTATCATATAGTTGGTCTTGTCACATGTCGGGAAGCTGTTATTTCACTTACAAGATCATTGAACATGCAACAGTGAGGGTTACAGATGATTTATTTTACCACAGTGGTGGATCAGTATCATCACATATTTGAAGCCAAAGTATCTGTGTTATATCAGAAGTGTAGTAAACTGTGCATCTGTGGATTGAGGCATTCTCAGCAGGGATGGATATATTTGGGTGGATATCCAAGCATTTATCAGTTCTTCTGTCTCGTTCTTTATTGATTCTTTTATGATTAATTGTGGAAAAATTTAAGCCTCCACAGGTTTGGAGAATCTGCAAAACTCTAAAGACAAGTAACAGAATTTGATAAAATCCTGCATGTGACTCAGGCATGCGAAAGCTCTGCTGCCATGAGTTTGATGGCGTCATTTAGTTACGCACAACTGTGAGAAAAACACACTGATAGAAGCATCTGATAAGCCTGGAGACATACAGCTCACATGGACTGGGTCATTTTGGAATCAGCCCTCAGTGGCAGTTTTAAAGGCCACTGCTTGCTCGTTGACCACAGCATGGTCACTGAATTGTTTCTACATTGCTCTCTGTATGTTGGCATCGCTACACATCAGCGTGAACTTAAAGTTGGGTTAGATTTAGACGGGCGTGTTGATCTCTAGTAGGAGGCAAGGCTCAGTCGTCTATCAGTGAATGTCAGACTGAAGATTGAGGTAGTAATATCTGCGCTGAGGCTCTGACATGTTCTGCCAGCTCATTCTATCACCTCGCTGTACGTTGTCTGCCTCCCCCCCACCAAATCTAGCTTTCTTATTAGAAACACATGCTGGTGAGTTATAATGGAAACTAATTTAGGTGTAGCTCAAATATGGCTGGAGGAGGCTCACGAAAATAACCTCACTCCCGCCTCAGAGCAGATGCTTTTCACGCTGCAGCTTTCTTTATCTTTGAGAAACCCCCCTCCTTACCCCCTCTCCACCCATCTCGTCCACTTCTGAATGCAGACTGACAAAGACTGTTAGACGGGTAGCGTTATAAAACAGGAAAGAGAGGCCACGTCTGTGAATGCAGAGTGAGAAAAAACAGCCAGGAGCTACTGGCACAACCGGTTGGAACCGCTCTCTTTTAATAATTACATTATGATTCAAGCTAAAACAACAATTCAGATACACAATGTCCACCTGTGCTGGGTCACTTCTTTCCCTCAGGTTAGTTAGCACACTGGATATCTAGTTCACTAACCACTGAAGGCGCTGGACAACAGTGATGTTCACAGTGCTTACTGTTTCACACCTCCATTACTTAGAGAGCAGTCATGCTGCTCTGAGAAGATGATACTTGTGATGAACAGTCGTTTTCATAGAGTTGTTTCATTGGCATGTAGAGAAAAGGAATTGGGTTGAAATGTGTGGGTTTTTTATGTTGAGTTAAGAAGCACCATGACCGGTGCATAGATGCATTTTATGGTACAACAGAAGAAGTGCTTGGTGTAACACACACTGTATATGAAAGATGGACACATCCAGCTCTCCCTCGTTGGTTTATGGATGCATTTAGTATTTTAGCTGCTGTTATTATCTTGTTTTTTTTTTCAGATTTCTTTCAGTTTGTTTGTTTCTTTTAAATTTAATTCTGCTTTATGTTTTTCCTGTCTGTCTGTACCCCTCACTGCACCACTTTCTTCCCTTCCTTTGCCCTGGCTCTGACCTCTAATGTGTGATATCATTATAAAGACATCTTTACCTCTAAGGTTGCTTGACAGACAAGTTTTACTTATGTTTACTTGAGAAATAGCAGAGAAAGACAAGTTTAATGCACTTGACTGCTGAGCCATAGGATTTGAAACAAAGTGCAGGTAGAAGAGAGAACGCACTGAGGGCAGTTTAAAGATTTAGCTTGATAATAAAAGAGAGCCTCAGCTGTTTGTGTCATATCATGTCTCAGTTTTTATTCTACACATTCCCAAATTTATAGCCAGGGATTTGATCATTTTGTGCTTGTGTCACTGGAAACATTTATTTGTTGTACCTTTTCTTTCACATGCCGTGTGGAAGAAGTCTAGTTTGCTTAAATGGAGAATTTCAGCGTCAAAAGGGCAAATTGTAGAGGACGCCATTACCTCAGCATCAACTGCAAAATAGCCTAGCCTAGCTCAGCTCAGCTCAGCCCTGCTGGCCAGTCCGTGACTCCTCCTTCCCCTTCCCTCTTCTCCCACATAGTGCCCCTCCACCCCTGTCTCTTTCAAGTGAGCTATAATGGCATCGGTGCGCTTCACCGTGACGCCCACTAAGGCGGAGGACCTTCCAGGGGGGTCAGACCTGTCACCTGACATCAGCCTGCGCTCCGGTTCCCGTGTGCGCTTTGAGTCAGACAGCGCCAACCGAAGTGACCCACTAAGCGAAGTTTCTGGAGGTGTGACGACGACTTCTGCAGGAGGAGGGGCTGACACCCCGGATCACAGCAGCATAGACCAAGGTGAGGATACACACACCTAACACAAAGACATTTCTTTTTAACTGATGGTGTTTATTCTTTATTCTTGAGACATGACAGCTGTCACGTCCTCTTTGAAGTTTCTTCATTGGCTGCATTATGTGTGACAGGCCTGTGCAGTGACCATGATTTAACCATCGGAAAAGGGGGACTGGGATCAGGCTTATGTTGCTTAAGTCGGTGTGTTGTTTCCTGGCTTTTGCTACATGATGACTGGTTTTTAAAATTGATTCTGATAAGGTTTGATTAATTGATTGATTGTTTTTTTTTTTTTTTTTGTGGAAAAAATTTGACCTACCTAACTTTTCAGCTCGGTGTCTGAAAACGGTGTGGCAAGAGAACAGAAAAAAGCTTTGACATGTCACTTCCTATGTGGCATGATGTCTGCGTCATTGACTTTGCAATGTCCAAGTGTCAGAAAAACATCCAGGCATCGATAAAAGATATTGATGAGTCTTTGAGGCTTATGACTAGTCTGCTTTTTTTTCTTTTTTTGTTTCTGAATTTTACTGTCTAGTCTCTAATGCCAGTCCTTTTCCTGTCTTACTTGAGCCCCATTTCAGTTTGTTTTAGTTATTTATATATATCCATATATCCACACATTCTCTGTAAAGTCAGTTAAGTTGTGTTCAAGTTCATGCAGTTCACTTTAGTTCAGTTCACTTTGTTTTTGTTTTTATACCTGTAGACAGCAGCAGCAGACATCTCAGGGAACATAGTAATGTGAGATAAAGACTATGCAATATTAGAAAGGGAGCTGATAATGGTGCTTCTGTGTCTGCTTGCTAGATGCTTTTTTTTCCAGGTTCAAGCATCTACTATGTTGTTAGTCTTGGATCTTTTTTTAGTTGTCATTCTCAGGCCTTTACAGTTTTATAAGCACTAGTTGGGCTTTTAGTCCATATTTTTATATTGATTGATATCCAATTTGATATTGATATCTATTGATTTAAAAAAAAAAAAAATCTGATATCAGCTGATATTTTCTGTTTTGCTTTTGTTTTTTCCCTTTTAGACACACAACATAAACAGAGTTCCCTCACATTTGTTATGTGTAGTCATTTATGAGTCCTTACTGAGATATTACGACTCGCAGCTCTGCTCGACACCACTTGGATCAGCTGGGTTGTTGTTTGTGGCGTTCCAAACACGAGTTGCCTAGAGGACGAGTGCCCCCTCTGGTGCACAACCAAAACTACAGTCATAATGTGTTGAATGGTGTTTCTCTCATCTCTCTTCATTTATCTGCCATTTAAAAAGCAATACTGATATATCAGCTGTTACATTGTTGAGATTGTAATTAATGTTCCTGACAGGGATCAGTGGGCACATTAAGGTGAGGATGAAGACTCATTCATCGCCATTGTTCTGAACCATGCTGTAGCATGTTAATTAAGTCATGAAGGCATTTGTAGAGGGTGATCTTCAGCATGTACTTCCTTTGTACTGTATGTTTGTGTATGGGTTTTTTGTTTGTTTGTTTTTCTTTTGCCTTTTTAAAATTTATTCTTTGCTTTGTCGCTTTTTCTAAATCCAGAATTGCTAGTTTGGTTTGAACAGGAAGAGCAGGGCACCCGCTGGGCGTGGGTTCATGAGGGGAACATTAGTTATGATGGCTCATGTTAAAACTAATGCCGAATTCCTATGCAACAAATTCCCACACATGAACTAGTGAGACTGGTTTTCACCGGACACAAAGAAAGGTCTTCTACAGCTTTTTTTGCCCAGACTGTTCATTTTCTAGGAAATAAAAAGGGAAATGCTATTTTTAGATTCTTGAGATGTGCTCATGCATGTCTCAAGTTGAAAAATGCATTTTTAAATAGGTTTTATGGCTCTCTGGGCTGTTAAGCTCTCCATTTGTTTTTCTAAGTGAGAACTTGAGGCCAGAGTGCTCCCCTCAGGGCTAGTCAGCCAATTGAGCAACAGTTGAACTTCACCATTATTGCGGTTAGCAGAAACTGAGAACAATAAGAGGATTTCATTCTGTTGTGATTGTAGCGCATGTTCCATTTCCCTTACTGCCAAATCAAATCACTTTTATTGTCACATCACATGTGCAGGTACATTGGTACAGCACATGCGAGTGAAATTCTTGTGTGCGAGCTTCACAAGCAACAGAGTTGTGCAAAATACAATAACATAAACAGGCAAAATATACGAATGGCTAAATCTGAAACTAATAAATATATGTACAATATATAATAGCATATGGGGGGGGGAAAAAATCTGGATGTGTATACTAAATGTTTTTCTACGTGTGTGTGTGTGTGTGTACACATATTTTACAAATTAAATGGAGTCAATAAATAAAATATACAAAAAAATATACAGCCACATCAGTTCTGAACTGATTCACTTCTTTCCTTAATCACAAACCCCTTCACATGCACAGATATGTGTATTTTCAGAAGAATCCAGAAGAATAGAGGATAATGGTAAACAGCTTCCATTTTACTGATGTGACTGTGCAGGTGTCAAAAGGGGTTATAACCGTGCAGAGATGATCCGGTAAAGCTCTTGCATAGTAGTAAGCATGGCCCACGCTCTTTAATAAGCTTCCATAAATAGATATTAAGCCAGTTAACCCGACTTGAGTTTCGGTCAAGCTTTAGTGATGCTGCGGTGGCCGTTTGTGAGTCTGTGCAGAAATAGCAGAGCAAGCGTGTTAGAGGAAGAAAAATGCTGTTGTAGAAGTAAATGAGCCAAAGTCCTGAAAGACAGGAGGTGTGGAGAGTTATTTTCAGAAAGGTCATAGACTCTGTGATCCATTAATGTTGACACCGATAACGTTCCCTACTGAAGCATGCATATAGTCCACACACTGCTACATCTGGCTCCAGTAACTTTCTGCTCCACTGACTGTACGTTCTCACACACACACACACACACACACGCACAGACAGCATCATACTCAGGTGTGGGCGGAGGACCTGTCCTCTTGGGGCCACACACACAGCTGTGTTCCCCTGTGCTGAACTGGGTGTGGATTATAGAATGAAGCTGAACAGCTGAGCACAGAGAGGACAGCAGTAAGAGCTCACATGTGTCTCTGGACAGCTTTTAGTTTGGCTAAGAGGAGGTTTTCAGATCAGTACTGGTGTAGATAGGAGCGTATAGAACTCGATGGATATCCACCAATATACTGTCAAACTGCAGCGTTTATTTTATTTGCAATAGTAACATACTTGGTGACAATAAATAGTGGATTGGTGTTCAGATGCATCTCCGTGGGCGGAACGGCAGGCTGCGACAGTAGTTCTCGTTTTGCTCTGCTGCATCAGTGATTTTGGCATAACGGCACATAAACATTAACTTGCTGCTGAGAGACTCAGCTAAATGACATCCTGCTGACACGGGCAGAGCAGGGTCTGACTGGTTAGTGCCGAGCAAGCTTTCAAAATAAAAAAAATCTTAAATGACTCACGCAATTTCTTGGGTTGCAGTTTAAATACCTGGCAGCACACCCAAATAAAGCCTGTTTGTGGGGAAACAGAAATGTATACTTTCATATTTGAGGAAAAACAAACTTGGGACTGTATTTGTAAGCCGAGTTGGCTGTTCGGTTGAGAAGTGTCTGACCTGAGTCACATGTTGTTGTCTGAATCACTGAACTTTTTTAAAAAGAGCAGCATCATCTGTAAGCTGTGCACACCAAGGCTGGTCTCACAAATGACGCAACAACAAAACTAACCACATGGAAGCAGGTAGTTTCCCCGATGCTCTCAGCTCTGATGCTGACTGTCAGTCAAATGATTTTGCACATTTAAAAAGAATTTATTTTTTTAAGAAGGCACACAGTGTGAGTAGGTATCCTGCCTTGATGGTGGATCGCTATGTTAAATATGTCCAAAGAATGCAAATCTAAACGTGCCCCCCCCCCCCGTGAAAACTGAAAGTTCAGATGATTTCTCCACAACAGCCTGAGCAGATAGGTGTGAATCTCGACAGTCCTGATTAACAGGTTAAGTGTTAAACATACTGAGGCTACATCCACACTAATGCGTTTTGTATGAAAACACATCGTTTTGGCCTCCCATCCACACTGAGACGCCGTTTTCCCCAAAGGAAAACGCAGTGTTTTGAAAACGCTGTCGAAAACGCATATATTTGAAGAGGGTGCTTATGCGCCGCAGAGTGGGCAGCGAAAACTGAGACTTTCGAAAACGATGACGCATTTTAGTCATGTGATGCAGTCATGTGACCAATTAAACTAAGATAGCGGAGGGCATTATGCAGCAGTTGTTTTGTTTGCGCTCAATTTTGACAGCCCTATTAAAGATGAATATCAGTCTGTACACGCTTCAGATAGCTTTTCTTCAAATTCTTTAATTCTCACTCGCTTTTGCAACTTTGTACTTTTGTGTTACTCACAGCAACAACTCCACCTCATTGTTAGTCCATTTAAAAAACTCTGTGCTTTTCCTCGACATTTTGCTGCAACGTTTCAGAGAGCCGGAAAGTAAAGAAACGGCAGACAGAAATGAGGCAGGTGGAATCTTCTTGCGTTTCACGCATGCGCAGTACTGGACCGTAAGCGCTTTCGTCCGTTTCAATGTGGACGCACAACTCTGTGAAAACGACTGAAAACGCTAGTGTGGACGCGGAGACGACAACGCCATTTTCAAATCTATCCGGGCGAGTGTGAGCTTGTTGAGATGTGGAGCATTCACGTTTATCTGTGTTCATCTGACATGGTTCAGTTTCTGTGTGTAAAGAGCAGCATCATGAAAATCAGGAGCACGCATTAGATGACCTGCCAGTTAACATGTTTTATGAACAAATGAGCGAGCTACCTGATTAGCTCGTTAGTTAAAATCTCCCAGCATGCCATCGTGCATCAGCTGTTGATTGTTAGGAGTGAGGTTTTGCCTGTGTTGAGTCAGTATCACACTCGGTATCTTTGGCCAAATGTAGCACTGCGAACAGGATGGGAAGTTACCACCCACCACACAAATGCTGGCTTTTTTTCATTCTTTATTTCCTCCCAGGGATCGTTGATTTATTTTTTTCTTTGGCACGTAACCAGCCGATGTTCTAAAATAGACAGTGAAAGCTGCTGAGGCAGTTTTAGATTCACCAGCTAGTGTGAACTCATTCATAGAGTAAACACTGAAAATGAATCATGCTCTCAACCCCCCCCCCCACCCACACACCCACCCACACACACACAGTTTTTAGAGGTGTGAAGAGGTGGAAGTTGGCTGTGTTTACAGGAAAATGAAGTAAATATAGGAAGATTTGTTATTTATTTATTGTTATTATTTCAGTTTGGGGTAACTTTACATGTATTTAAGGGGAATCCACACCGTTATTATTTATTTTGCTATTGGAATGTTACACAAGAAGGGAAAACTTGTCTCATCCCTCAGTCTCTGGTTTTCTTCTGAGTGCCCTTCTGTGAAGCGTGTGACCCTTGGCTGCTGTTAGCGTGAGTGTGGCGTAGCAGGGAGGGGGAAGTGATGCTGCTGACTCAGGTGCTGCCGATGCAGCGGTCTGCACCGGCGGGAGGAACCGAGCCAGCGACACGGGGTCGCTGCATCAAACTGTGTCTGTGAGGGAAACGGCTGAAAGTCGACACCACCGAGCCATGATGACAGCGATTTAAAAAAAAAAAAAAAAAAAAAAAGGCTTCCTTTGTGCTCAGTCATATTCGTGCTGCATCATCCTTTCCTTTTCTTTCCCTTTGTTTATGATTTCTCTCTCTGTCTTTCTTTTATTGGCTAGGTGAGGGAAATTCAAAAACCTCCAGCGTGTACATCAACAGCAATCATCAGGTGGACGATGACGACTTCTACGACAAAAACCTGGCCTTGTTTGAGGTACAAAACATTTCAGCCACTCTTTCTAGTGGCTGTATTTGCTGCTTTCTTATAATGTATTCACTCTTATGGTTTTATTATACAGCACAGGGCTAAGAATAGAAAAGGATGGTGACTGTTTATTTGATGAATGTCTGCTAACTGGAGCCCAGAATAACCAGCATGTGGCTGGTGGGTGTAGATAATTTCAGGTTTTATAGCTTACAGAGTTCCTTCTTCTCTCTCCCACTTCTTTATCTACTGGTTCAGTATGCCTCTTTGCCTCCTCTTCTTTCATTCTGTCTGTTGCCTTTCTCCGGTTGTCATTTTATCTTTCTTTCCCTTGTTCTCCTATCTTTACTTCATCTCTGCCTCACAGTAATTTATGCCTTTCCTCCTTTTTTTAAAATTTGCCCCATCTTTACTCCATCTCTTTCTCGCTCCACCATACTTCATTGTCTCCTCTTTTTCTTCGTCCTCTACCCACAGGAGGAGATGGACACTCGACCGAAGGTGTCCTCTCTCCTCAGCCGCCTGGTCAACTACACCAACCTGACTCAGGGGGCCAAAGAGCATGAAGAGGCCGAGAGCATCGGCGAGAAAAAGAAACCCAGCAAGGTACAAACGAATAAACCTTGAAACACACGTAAACACAAGTGTGACCTCGTAAAACATTAAATCCCTTTAGTGTTTTAATGAAATTCACTGGATGGCGAGGCATGTTGGGCAATCTGCCCATATGCAGTGCACAATTCCAGCTGTACTTTGTCTGGCTGAACAATGATCTTTTACTGCAGTGTCATAACCAGGATGAGCCCTGGTCGTAGCAATGGTGTAGTAAGTACAAAGTTGATCTGGATGACAGTAACAATCCTCACATGGTCACTAGTTCATATGTTGCACCTGAAACAATAAAAATAAAGACATCCATTTGTTCATCAGTTTTTGAGGCCCTGTCCTAGAAAACTGACTCTTTCTGCCGCCCTCCTGACTCGCTGCCTCCAGCTGAAATTGCGTTTGGATGTAACCCTGGTGTGGAGCCCAATCCTTCCTGATAAGGCGCTGGCTGGCCCAGATAAGAACTGCCTGTCTGTTTTGGCGGTTTGAGAGTAATTGCACGTTTGCCGGATTGCTCGGACACATTTACCAACAGACGGCAGGGAAAGTTAAACCAAAACATGTTTAATCCTCCCGTCTGGACCCCACCGTGTGTTCAGTACAAGCATCAACATAAGTCTGGTACAGCAGGGAGGAGCCGTGCAGTGATTTCAAGACCTTACCTGGAAAGATGACAGTGGAGCAGGGCTAGTTTAAAGACCAGCTTTAAGAGATTAATATTTGGATAAGAAAACATTTGAATGGAGAAGGAGCAGCGTTAAATCCCAACTGGACCAGAGTAGAAGTGATTCATGGGTCTCCATGTATGTGTGTATGTGTGCTTCCTGCAAGCAGATGTACAAAATGTTAAAAACATGGGTTTTAGGACACTGGGGTCATTTCATATAAAATCAGACACGTATGGGAATAAATATTTGCCATCTGCCCCGCCGCTAAATGAGGCAATTTGACCATACCAGGAAAGTTGTCTGAGTCCGCAGAGTACATACACATGGATTTGAGGGATTTTTTTTGATTGTTTGTTTGTTTTCCAGCAGTTTTGAACCATTTTTGAGCTAGCAGTAAGACATTTAGGCTCTGTTTAAAAGCTGCAACCAAATCCATTTTATACCCACTCCAGGTCTCATGATATACAGCTAGACTCTTGTTTTTGTACAACATGATGTTTTTTCTGAACTTTGTGTGTGAGTATCATGGCATAAATCATTTCTATAGGAAAACTTCTCCGGTTGACTGTCTGTAGAGTATTGGGCCCAGGCATTAGTACTGCTTTTTGGGTAAACCTTCAAAGTCCACATCACCAAGTGGGACAGGTGGCAGGTCAAAACATGTTGCAGCGTATGAAAGGTCTGCTTACAGCAGAATGTAGATCATTCAGAATGTAAGCTTATTGGCTAATTACAGTATCTAATATTAGCTTTCTCTTTCCTCTGATGAATCTGTTTTTAGCATTTGCTTGTGGGGCTTGAGCCTGTCCCATCTGTCGGAGGGCGTGAGAGGCTGTTAAGGGGCAAACACATTCACACCTACAGCTAATTTAGAATCACCAGTTAACCTAACATGGACTATGGGAGGAAGCTGGAGTACCCTGGGGGAGCCCACACAAATGAAGTTGTCGAATAATGGCTAAAATGATGTTCATCGAAAGTCTGAATTAACCTTTAATGTAACATCAGTTTAATGTGTTTAGTTTCGTTTTATTTACAGATGAAGGTAGTATGATGGACTGAAATAAATGAACAAATTCCAAATGAGCACCTCAGTGTAACATTACGTGCTGCCTTTGGATTTCGTTTCTGCTTAAACCTTTTTTCTTCTGTGTAATCTTCCAGTCGCCACAGATGGGGACGCTGATGGGCGTGTACCTGCCTTGTCTGCAGAACATCTTCGGCGTCATCTTGTTCCTGCGGTTGACCTGGGTGGTGGGAACTGCCGGCGTGCTGCAGGCCTTCTGTATTGTTCTTATGTGCTGTTGCTGTGTGAGTATTGGAGTATTAGCAAGCAGCCCCAAGGAGACAAAAACAGGAAACCTTTCTAAAACACTGCCGTCTCTCCTCTCCAGACAATGTTGACCGCCATATCAATGAGTGCAATCGCAACCAATGGAGTCGTACCAGGTATTCCTTTATCTTTATGTTTCTTCCTTCATTCTGTGGACACAGTGGCCCAGAGATCCTTCCTTCTTGTCTTTCTGCTTCTTCCTCCTCATTTTCTTTACTTTTCCCTCCTTTCCTTCCCTTTATTTGTTCTTCTCTCTACTCTTTCCTCCCCTCCTCATTCTTCTTCTTCCATGTTTTTTTCCTTCCCATTTATCCACACTTAGAACCAGTATGAAGAGCACAATGGGTACTGTTAATCTATTAGATTAAGATTTACACAAAGTGATTTACATAGATTAACTTTACATAATGAATGTAAGTTATTTCTTAACTTCATATTATTCATCCTGTAATTTATTTACGCAAAGAAAGAAAATGCACTCTTTATAAAAAGCTATAAATCCAGCAGGGTGCTGAGTTTAGGGTCACCTCTGTGTTGTCTGCTTCAGTGTCTCTGAATTGAAGTGTATTTCCACAATAAATCACATTTTTATGTGGACACTTTGCAGTGGACTGAGTCTGGTGGCCTCTGTGGATGTTGTGTTGACTTTTGTAGTTTGTCTTTCCCGGTTGTCCTTCTCATTTTCCAGCTTTGGGCGCGCTGACGGCGTTTTGCTAACGAGTGTTATTTCTGTGTCCCGTCTCTCCCTCTGTCTGCTCTCCCTCTCTGTCTGTGCCTTCATTAAAAACCTAGAATATTTATCTGCCATTGACCTTTTCTCTCGCCGAAATGCCTCGAGGCGAATATCCTGAGTGTCAGAGTAGTTTGATTAACTGACTTATTTTCCAACAAGCATGGCACAGATTGATAATTGAATGTAGAACGAGAAAACCTCTGTAAAGTAGAAAATTAATCTAACAAGTTCTGACTCTCATCAGGCATTTTACCCCACGCTCTGTCTCACCTGAGCAGCTTCCAGCTGTCATGCTTTCTATTCTCAGATGGTAGCGATTAAGTGTGTGTGTGTGTGGGGTGGGGGGGGGGTCAGGCTGAACAAGTAATAAAGTGTGTTTGGGTTCTCAAATACAGCTCAGCACTAAAAATCACTCAGCCTGTGCAGACATTGTGACCTGAAAGTCCAGCAGGTTTTGTGGCCTCGCTCAGGAACTTCTCACATTAAATATGTCTAAACCTACCACATTCATATTCAATTACATTTTTTTTGTGACATCGACCCTGCTGTGTTCCTTTTTGTGTGATGTTCAATGCTGCTGTTTGGAAAGCAAACACCGAATTATGCTCGCAGTCAGCAGAGTATTGGTATCTGCTCTTACTGCCTCATTTGTGTTATACGTGGTTCAAATGGTATCAGCAAATAGCCGCTGTTTGCCTTGCCACACTTGGAGTAGCAGTTGTGTAGGGGCAATGTTAATTTTACCGTAATGCGGGCTGGGCTGTGTTACCCGAGTGTTGGCTTATTCACGTGCAGCCTGGTGCTTGATGTCAGAAGGTTGGATGCATTGGATGCATTAAGCTCGACCTGGTCCAGCACTTGGAGTGAGCTGAGCAGCTGCTGCCGTGTGCATTTGCAGATGCCGTTTGAATGAAAGCCCGCTCTGTCTGTATTTGTGTCACATAGAACATTATGCTTACTTCTACAAGCATAGTATGACTCCTCTTTTCTCCCCTTTTGCCTCCCAACATCATAATGTTACTAACCATCCACCGCCTCCGCTCTTTCTCTTTCTTTGTCCACCCTTCTTTTCCCCCCTCCAATCTGTTTCTGTCTTCATCCCACTTTTTTCCATCCCTCTTTCTCCCTCTTCATTTCCACTTCCTCCAACCCTTACATACACCTTCCTCCTCCTGCTTCTTTCCTCCTCCTCCAGCGGGAGGTTCCTACTTCATGATCAGCCGCTCTTTGGGTCCAGAGTTTGGGGGGGCGGTAGGCCTGTGCTTCTACTTGGGCACAACCTTCGCTGGAGCCATGTACATCCTGGGAGCTGTCGAGATCCTTCTGGTGAGTTGCTTTGTTGTTGTTCCAGTTAGTATCGTGTTCTCCAGACTTTCTTCTGGATGTAAAGGCTTACGTTGTGATCATTGAGTGACTCTATACTGATACCAGGTAGCAACGACTCATTGCCTTCACTATATGTGGACCTCACAAAACCCATAAGCTCAGTTATTTTAAATAAACATGTGACCTGAGTTAGGGACACAAAAGGAGGCTGACCAGTTTTATTGACAGGCTGATATTATTTATATGTGTCATCTGATTGGCTGATTTGCACTAAACACGCTTATCTTACTGAACCTTCAGATAAGTGAGGCCTGCTTCTTGCTCTCTTCCCTCTCCCTCTGACAGATGTACATTGCACCCAGAGCAGCGATCTTTGAAGGTGAAGGAGGAGCCATGTTGAACAACATGAGGATATACGGCTCCATCTTTCTCCTCTTCATGGCCTTGCTGGTTTTCGTGGGGGTCAAGTATGTGAACAAACTGGCCTCTGTCTTCTTGGCCTGTGTCATCATCTCCATTTTATCCATTTATGTCGGAGCGCTGGTTTCTGCCTTCAGCGTGCCGGATTTTCCGTGAGTCTTGATTATTTGGAGAAACACAGAGCTGACTGATCATTTATGCGTCACATTTTTGACTGACTGGGCTTTCATCCACAGCGTATGCATGCTGGGAAACAGAACTATCAACGCCCATGATGTTGTTGACAACCACTGTAGTAAAACTGTCCTGGTTAAAGTTCCAGCTGAGAAATTAGACAGCAACTTCACGATTAACGGTGGGTTCAGATTTCCTTCTTTCTGTTACGAGTCATGAGGAGTAAGAGTGTCTCTCTGAGTTACACCAGTGTGTTTCTGAAACGCTGTTTTTCTCTCTGTCTGATAGAAAACAGCACAGTGGGCCCCACTTTTGACCCCAGCCATGTCCCAGAGGTGATGGTGGAGAAGACCACACATCTTTGGAAGTTATTTTGCCATAACGCACAGCTCAACACCACCTGTGACGAATACTTCACTTCAAACAACTTCTCTGAGATTAAAGGGATCCCCGGACTGACTAGTGGGGCCATATCAGGTAGAGTGCATGCATGAGGAGTGCAGTGATTCTCTGAATGAGAGATCATATAAAATATGGACACGGCCAATGTGATATCACCCACCTGTTACGAAGCCAAGCTGAGTGTTTTACCATTGCCTCTTTGTTTGTTTGTTTTTTAAATCTGATGAGGGTGGTCATTAGCCAAGTCTGGCTGTGTCCATCTTCTTTTTAGTCTGTGGTCTCCATGGAAGTTCCAGGAAAGTCTGTGATTGCACTGTTAGTGTTGTTTCTTGGCTGAAAGCTAGAACCTCACTTATAGCTGACCAGTATGAAATTACTTATTTACTGAGTGTGCATTTAAAAAAATATAATCGATTAAAACTTTAAACCGTCACATTTAAACAGGCGTTAAATTGTTGTGCTAATGTTGTTTTTGCTAAGTGACAGTAAGAAGGATAAGTAACCAGTATCTCTCCCTCTGGCTCAAAATGTATTCTTGATTCTTCCTGATTAAAACAGGAAGAACTTAGTATTGATGTTTTCCCTTGTAGCTATTAACTTAGCTTGAGCAGCTGAATGACGGAATAAC